ACAAAAGAAAAGGAAATGAAAAGAGAGAGGGAAGCATCATAGATAAATACGAAGAGGATCAGGACTCGTTAAGTTACATGGCCAAAAAAAATACAAACAATATGAGAAAGATCTTGTTGGAGAAAAGGGTTAAATTAAAATAGTCTACTAAAAGATAAAATAACTAATAAGGCAAAATGTTACATCTAATAATCATTTTATTTTTTTCTCTTATAACCAACAAATCAACTATTAAAAAAAATTAAAAATTAAAAAAAAAAAGCCAACCAATTTTCCAAACACAACTATTTTAACCAAACTAAAATAATCAAAAAGTCAAATAGCTAACTAAAATAGTCAATTTCCCAAACAAGACCAAAATGACAAAACATCATGAATTAGACATACAACCACACGATATTCTTGCGATATTCCTCAAATACTAATTAATTTATGCTAGTTATGAGATTCAAAGTTGGCATCACTTTCAGTAAGACTCTTATCTACCAAATCAATCCCTATTAGTTTATAGAGTGACTCTCAATGCACCTCAATATTTTGGTTGGACATCCAATTCCTAGGGTATTCCATGCTTAAATTTGATTTTTGATTTTTTGTCTTTTATTTTCAACACGCCAAATAATACTTAGTATATCTCCGGCCACCCTAATCACTTATCAACCATTTTTTTCTACCTCTGCTGCCAGCGTTGCCTCTACCACTAGTAGCCAAACCATTCCCACTCTCCCCACATCCGACCTCCAACTCTCACCCTACCTCCAGCTCCCCTCGCCACCTCCTCCTCATCTTCCTTCACCGTCACGAAGCCCCAACCATGACACCCCCTTCTTTTTCTCCTCCTTCTTCGTTCGAGGGTATTTGTGTTAGACCATTTGTATGAAAAATCATATTATTTTAATAAGTGTAACCACATATTTTAGCATATTTGTCTTTTAAAAATAGATAATAAGGCTTCGTTTGGGAACCTTCCCTTTCAGTCAAAAAGTCAAAAAGTTACTAAATTAGCTAAAAAGTCAACAACCATACCAAAAAGTTAAAGATTCTCTTTTCTCTCTACTTTTTGCACATCTTTTCGTAAAAAACCAAAAAATCATCCCAAACATACTAGTTTTTTTTAGTTCATATTTTAGCCAAATAGCCAAAAAGTTACTAAATTAGCCTATTCCCAAACAAGGCCTAAATATGACTTTAAAGATATATCTACCTTGTTTAAGAAGTTTGTTATTTTAATTGACTTTTTTGTTATTTTATGAGATGACAAAAAGTTGTGTTTGAAATGATTTATAAATTTTTTGTAATTGAATAAATAGTTGTGAGAAAAAAAATGATTGATTGATTTATAAAATATGATATTTTGTCTTATTAATTATTTTAATATTTTTTTTAAAATCTTTACAGTCTATTTTAGCCAATATTAATCATGCCAAATACCCAGTATTCTCCAATAGTAATAGGTATTTTACCTGTCTAAACATTACTATAAAGTATCCATTTTTTTTTGTTTATCAACTGTTTCATGTTTCTACTTCAACCATTCTCTTTATTTTAGCTATTCATCAAAATACTATTAACTTTATAGAATGTCACATTGGTAACAAAGATGGAGGGAAATGATACTGATGATTAAATACATTTTGCCTAACCTTGAAGGCTAGCTACATGTAGATATTTATTTCTCTCTATTTTATATGACCAATCAATAACTATGTATCATAATTCTTTGGCGAATTGGAGTTATTTTCAAATGCATTTTCATCTAAACTGGTTATGGTGTGGAGTTTTATATCCATATGTTTTGAATTTGGGTTTATTTCTTTGAATGCGAAAATGAAAATTAGTTTGTTTTTTCTTTGATGTCTTAGTTGTCAGGAAAATTAGATGTTTCCTGATTTGTGTGATTATAATTTACATCTGCTTTGCTCAATGTGAGTTTTGAGCCAGAGTTATTTTTCCATATCTTGTTGTTGTCCAACTTATTGTCATCTAATATATAATTAGATATCTCTAATTATATCTTGATGAATTTGGATCTAAATTGAACTATAGATGTACCCCAAGTGAATCTTCTATAAATAATTCTGGTTTGTAGTATGAACTTGAATTTTTTTTTTTTAAAGTGTAGCGCCTCAAACTTAAAAGAAACCCAACTTCAAATGATGAATCATGAGTCTACTAAATATAAACTTCAAGTGACAAATTTATTAGGTTGACCAAGCAAATCCAAATTACCACTCACTCCATCAATTCAAATCCACTGAAACAGTGCAATTAAACAAGTTCAAAGATTAGTAAAGAAAACTCTGAACTATATGTTTTCTTTTCATTTGTGTTTGATTTGGGCTAAGGTTGGTTGCATTTTTCTTCATGATAAATTTGTTGCTTAGCTTGACATTTGATGAAAGCAGTGCATCTTATAGTGCTTATATTCTTAGGTTGTTGACCAAATGATTGAGGAAATGGATTGTTAATTCTTTTTTAAGTCCAAATGTTTGTAACACCTTAATACGACACCTTGAATTTTTTCCCCTTGTTTACATTTATTATGGTACATTGGTATGTCTTGCCATTTTGACATTTAATGTTCAATGTATGTTCTGACTGCTTTTCCACAACATGGAGTTTGGTTTAAGATTCATTTATATCTGAAACTATAAGATCTTGTGCTTCCCTTTTGTATGTCCAGAGGACCAGCTGATAAAGACAAACCAAACGAACAAACTAATTAGGTCTCTTGTGCTTACTAAATAGAAAGGGGGATTCCAGTTCAAAGGATGTTAAGAGTGCAGCTGCAAGTGAAGCTTCTAGAAAGAGGTGTTTAGCTCCATTCTTTCTTAGACAATTTACAAATGACGTTTGTCACATCTATATGTGATGCTTAATGCTTGATGCTTTCTGTTTTCATGTTTGGCGTTTCCTGTGAACGTTCTTGAGCAACCAGCACCTATTTGTTTCATATGTGCATAACTGATATATTTGCTCCCATGTCCTTTTGCTATCTTTTATATTTTTCAACCCTACCAAAAAAGTAATGGATGACCGGGCTTCAGCGAAAAGGGCTCTGTAAGCTGTATCACTTGTTCAGTTTATATTAACAGTTTTAGTTCTTGATGATTGATGAAGATCTTTTAATTAGAATGATTAAAATTTGTTTTCTTGAAATATGAGTGTCAAAATGTAGGTTTCAAGAAGAGTTTATATACTTAATGATGGGATTATTCTGCTTTTGAGTAACTTAGAATTATTCTCCAAATTGACAAGATTTTCTCTGATTTTTCATCTTATTTTTGTATTATGTTCAAGAATGTGCTTTGATCTCTGTTGTTTAGAAGTGGTATTTTGGGGGTTATTATTTTGCCATCAACATCACTACTTAGTGATTTAAATTTTGTACCTTGGATAAAATGAAATTATGGAATCTATTCACGTGTAGGACACGGGTGCAGGGGATGTCTTGATGAACTCTTGGAATGGGGAATGATGATAGAGTGAAATTGCCAAATTTGCAGCCAATAAGCAGATATCAACCCTTTTTTTTTGTTGTCTTTTTTTTGATTGCTATGTGGAAACAGATAATAAAGACAAATGAAGTTAGTAGAGATCAACAAATTGGAAAGTGAAATTCAATGCACTCTAGATAATTTTTGGATGTTTAAAACCTAGATTTTTTGAGGTTTAGAACTTGTGTATAGTTTTTGAATATTTAGGACCTACTAATAGTTTTTGGATGTTTAAATAGAACCAATGGATATGTTTTAATGTTTAAAATCATGTTTTTGTGATTGATGCTTACATATACAAATGTTTGGTGAAGCTTATTAGAATGAATTTGCAGTATTTTCTTGAGATTGTATTGAGCAGGTGAAATGGAGTAAGAGCAAGATATGAGCAACATTTGGAATGTATAGACAATTATTGAATGTTTATAACTTATGAATATAATTTCTTTTTGATGCTTGAAATAATATTTTGGTGGCTGATTGATATTTTGTGAAACTTGTTTATAATGTTTGCTAGATTGTACAGAACATGTCAAATAAAACCTGCTAAATTAGAAGAAAAAAATACTGTATATTCTACAACAGGCATAATAGGTCGTTGTGTTATATATTTTACGATGAGCAATGAGAGTTGTGATTTGTTTCAGGAATTAACTGCATGCAAATATAGTTGTAGAAAAATCAAACACGACGCACAAAATCTGTTGTTAAAGGATTTTTAACGGCGTGCAAAAGTAGTTGTAGAACAATTAAACACGAAACACAAGATCTGCTATTAAAAGATTTTTAATGGCGTACGGCATGTCGTTGAAGTAAATGACTTTCCATGATTGGTCATAATACGGCTTTACATTGTGCGTCGTAGAATCGTATTCATGACATGTATTTGGTATCGTAAAAACCTAAATTAGTTGTAGTCCTAGTGAATGTAAATTGAGGTAAAATGTCTAATCATATGCCTAATGCATTAGAATTGAAAAAAGTGAGTCATATTAGACATTTTGACTAATAAGGATTATATGTCTGTGGGTTAGAGATGCTTATACTTAGCAGGTATATATATATATATATTATTTTTCCTCAAGAGTAATCTACATACAAATAACTAAAAACTAATTTAGGTCTTGTCAACTGTATATTTTAATCAAAAATTCAAAAAGTTACTATAAATTATCACATCAATCTCTCTACGTTTTTTATATATCTTTTCATAAAAAAATTAAAAAATTATTAAAATATCATATTTTCAAACGATGCCTTATCTACCGAATGTGCTGATTTTTTTGCTAGTGTAAAATAACTTGATCCATATAACAACTTGACCCAAAACCATGCACACAAAAGCCAAATTCATTTCATTATTTATTTTAATTCATTATACAACCAGAACCCTTATTTTATGAGGTCCCCGACACTTCTTTTATACCATTATATTTATATCTATTTCAAACATTCCAAACCAAATCAAACCCAACCCAACAAACCTTCAACTCAACTCCTCACTCAGTTCTGGCCAGCCCTAAGCTGCTGAACAGTGTCAGCAGATATCTTAAAAGCCTTAGTAAGCACTTCATCCGGAATACTCGACCCAAACAAGTTCTTCGGCAGCGCCACCGTGCCCGCATTAACGCTTCCAAAAGCCGACACAACCACCGCCTTATTCGCCTTATCAAAGTTCGCCTGATAATGAGGCAAACCCTTCGGGAACACGAACACGTCACCCTTTTGAAGCACGTTTTTGTAGAGCTTCCCGTTGCTGTCAACAGTGCCAACAGTGAGGGACCCGTCGACGACGAAGATTATCTCGCCACCCCGGGGGTGGGTGTGGGGGACGTTGACGGAGTTGGGAGCGAACTCGAGGAGTTCGAGTGAGACTCCCATGCCGTTTAGGGCGGGGAAGTCTTTGACAGAGACTGATTTGCGGCCGAGGCCGCTGGTGGTGGCGGGGGCACCGCCACGGAGACCGGTGTAGGTGAAGAAGACGCCGTCGAGTTTGGACTCGTCGGCGCCATCGGGGATGGAAAAGTCGGTGGTGAGTTCTGGGTCAGTGGCGGTGGTGGTGGTGGAGAGGAGGAGGAGGGTGGAGAGGAGGGTTAGGGTTAGGGTTAGGGTTTTGGCCATGGTTTTTGGAAGGTGGTGAGGTATTGGTTTGTTTGTTTTTGTAGTTGTGGGGGTGAGAGGAGATATGTTGGGTATTTATAGGGAAAGGTTGGGAAGTGGATGGGAATATTTGGAATGGAATGTGTAATGTTGGATGAGAAGTTTTGTGATTTTAGTGGTGCGAGCACTTTTACTCGAATGGAAATTAATAAATTTGAAATTAATGGATGATTAGTAGGAATCAATTATGATAATGCTACCCACTTTCAACTTTCCCATCTAACACCTAAAATTTTCACATAATTGAATACACATGTAAGATGAAAAGTAAGTTTTAAATGTGATTTATGAAAATTATCTATGCATTTATATATATTTGTCTACTCCAATGCATTTTTTATTTATTTACATGTGATAAAAATATATTACTATGATTATCAAGTAATTTTTTTTAAGTTGATGATCAATCTCCAAAATGAGCAGATTTAATTATTAAAATGATACTCACCCAAAAAAAAATTATTAAAATGAAGTCCATGATAAACTCACGGATCCGAATTACACTGGATCAGAGGAAAGCTTGCCCTTCTTTTTTATTGACTTGAAAATAAGTGGGCTCTAATTATTGGTGGGTCTTAAAGATATCATAACATATATATATGTTGCCAAATTTTCACTCACAGATGTGGACACGCATGAACACACAGTAGAATTAAAGTTTAGTTAAATTTTCACAATATGTTTTTAGCAATTTTTTAAAAATTAGTTTGATGAAAAATATATAAAAACTCCTATTTTGGGACGAAGACTGTTGCCTGAAAACTGTATTATATGACGATGAGCAATGAGAGTTGTGATTTGCACCCCCCTTCTCTTTTTTGGATGAAAATAGTTTTAGAAAATTCAAAAATAATTTTTTTGTGTTTATTTTTTTGCTAAGTATATATACTTTCCGTTTCACACATCTAAATATATAAGTAATTATGGAGCATAAATGTTGAGATTTACGGGATGGTGTGAATTTTCATAAATATTGGAACACTCCATTGTTGATCTTTTTGTATTTATATGTATATAGTTGAGAGGGTCTTTGAACCTTGCAACCCCTTTTGATCATAGTTAAATTGCAACGACTGCACATAGACCTAATTATGGGATGTATATATGTGCGTGCAATTTACAATTTTTATTTAGTTTTTTTTCAAGAGCTCATCCATCATAGTTAGGTATGGTACAATTCGTTGCAAGGATGGCTTCAAGGAAAAATAAAACAACAATTGGTACATATAAAGAAAGTACAAAACCGGTTTGTGCGAACATAAAAATCAATAACCAACAAGAATACATAATATATATAAACAAATAAAATTTTACAAAAGTTATTATTATTCATATATATATATATTATTTGTCCAATTTTGTGACCAATTTTTATGTTGTAATATTTATTCAATACATAATCTTTCAACACATCCTTGTTCCTGTCATAACCAAATAATTATTATTAATTTTTTTTCGAGAAAAGAAAATATGTTGCAACTGTGTCCATGAACAATCTTTAGTAGGGGAAATTACTTGACCGTTGGGGATAGAAAAAAAATTACAAAAATATGGAGGGTGTAAGTAAATCTATAGTGACTTGCACCCCCATATGTTTGTGTATTTTCTTTGTCTTTATCCAACTATTAAGTAATTCTTTCGCTTTTTAAAAACAATAGTGTGGCATCCTCAAATTTTCGTTCCCACACATATTGCACCATGGTGCAATGTAGAACCCACTATTTCAAGTGGGAAAGCATAAGGTTTGAACTATTGTGAGATGTTTTGTATTCACTATAAACTCAAGAGTATTGTAAAAGAAGTCCGAGACCCAAAGATTATGTGGTTTACATTTTAATTTTCAAATAGGGTTTCAGAATCGAGAGTTGTGTTGGAGAAATTGAGAATTTTTATGTATCTTTATTAAGCCCTCGTTTGGCATGAGGATTTTTAGGATTAAAATGGTAAAATAGTCACAAAAAGATAAAATACGCTAAAAAGTCAATCAGACAAAATGTGACATCCAAATCATAGTCATTTTATTTTTTCTCTCACAAAAATCAAAAAGACCAAAAAGCTCATACCAAATGAGACTTTTTAATCCCAGATTAAATATCCAAAAAATCAAAAAGTCAAAAGCCAACCCACATTCCAAACATAAGTATTGAATTTGTTATCTCTTCGCCGTGGAAATAAGCACATTTTGCAGACTACATATATATATATATATATATATATCTTAAATTTTAAATTATACAAATAGTAACTGTAGTTTATAGGATGTGTCAATTTAGTTCATGTTGTTTCAATTTGCTTGATTTTGCCCCTTAATTTAACAGATTGTGTCATTTTAGTCCAATAAATAACGGTTGTTAAATTTGGTGAACAGAAAGTCAAATTATATATTAATTTGATCCCTATAGTTTACATAATGTATCAATTAATCTAGTCAACAGATACCAAATTATTGGTACTATTCCTAAACCAAATTACACCTTTGCTCTTGCCTCTAACCCCTTTGCTTCCCAATCACTTACACTCATACCTCCTAATTATCCAAACCGGTCAACATCAAAAACAGATTATGTCCTTAAAACTCAATCACCTAAACTTTTTTACAAAGAACCAATCTACAAAAACAGTCATAATGCCATTGACCTAGTCAAAACCTATTTCCCTCCTAATTTACATTTCATTCCATCTCATTCAGAAAGTCAATCACCTTCTACAAAGATATCTTCTTCCATCATAAGTCCATAGTCAGTAAGCCCATTTATGACAGGGTGAATACCAGTAAAATCATTTACCATTCTTTGTATATACGCAGCATTGTATCCTTGATGAATGGGGTCTCCCTTTCTTGTTGCGAGATCTTCCTAATCGTACGATACAATATAGTTATTTCAATTATATTGATACATGGTTCAAAGTCCTCTTGCATTAAAATGAAACATATATAATCACTCTTGGTTTTTCTCCTTTGATCATCAATTTAAGTCAGAATTTCCTTCTTAGTTTCTGAGATGGTGATTTCAACATGGTGTCATCCCAAATATCATTTCCTCAAACCTCATGGATCAAGTCACCCATTTCTCCACAATCTACAAATTGAGTCAACATAAGAGTCAACTTCCAATATTACTCTATTTCATGTCCAAATATAAAGTTCCTTGGATATTTAAATGGCAATATCATATTGAAGATAACATAGCCATTAGATAACATTTTGTCAAATAGTGGGATGCATTTAAAGTCCATCACATTGTTGATCAAGTCCAAAAAGAATTTTCAGTCAATATTTATGCTCCTACTCTAGCAATGGTCAAGTCTTCCCAGTAGAACCCAATTGCTTCAGTCACTCAAGAAAGCCCACTCCCTCTTACAACAGCCAGACTTAGAAGCCCAACAAGGATTAAATTGATACATTGTGTAGACTTTTTGTCCACCAAATTTAACATCCTTATTTATTGGACTAAAATGACACAATCTGTTAAATTAATTGACAAAATCGAACAAATTAACACATCATGTAAACTATAGGGATCATTTGCATAATTTACTTTTTTTTTCTAATGAAAAATCTTTAAGGCTGCTTCAAAAGGTAAGTTGGGTATATATAGGTAAGTTGAAGGTTTTTGGTGCAAGTAATATTAAGTTTCATGAAAAAATATTACGAGAAGTTTAATGAAAATTTTTTACTTTTGAATTATACATATAATAAAACACCACAAACTAATCAAAAAATAGAGAATTTTCATAAAAATTTTCATAATATTTCTTTCATAAATCCCAACATTTGTCTTTTGGTGCCCCCAACTACTCTCCTTCGGATTCAAGATGGTTGAGGATATAAGATAGACAATTAACCCCAAGTACTCTCTTTTGGATTTAGGATGGTTGAGGATAAAAGTTGAATGTTCTTGATGCCCCAAGTACTCTTATTTGGATTTAGGATGGTTGAGGATAAAATATAACTAATAAAGTTGATTCTCTCTAACAACTTAAATTTTTAAATGAATTGATAAACAATAATTCAATTCAATATAATATCAAAATAAGTAATAAATTCAAAATTCGAATATCATGGGAAGGGATAAATAATAAAATTGTCTCTCCAATGTACTTTTAATGAGCTGTGTAAACATGTCAAGAAAGACAAAGAAATACTACTGGTCATGTAGTGTTGAGGGTTGGTGGAAGAAACTCTCGAACATACTATATGTGAGTCATGTAATTGTGAAGAGTAATGTTAGCCATTCTAAATGTTTTATTAAATATTTTATCAAATATTTCACATGCATATATGAGACATATGGTAGCACATTTAATAAAACATTTGGGATTCCTAACATTTTTCAATTGTAAAATTGGAAAAAGACACATGGAATCTTGTTATTGATCAATGGTGTATGTAAGAGAGTCCAACAATCACATATGGAAGTAATTATAGAAATATTGTATGAGTTAATGGAACATTAGTAGGGATCCATTATGTATGATTAGCTGAGTGCAGTTCTCTTTCAGCCCAATTTCATAAAAATATTTAATTTTAACTCAATTTTATTATCCTAATTTATAAAAATTATATCTTATTATTATATATTTTTAGCAGATTAACTATAAAGTAATAGATAAAAAATACACTGTCTTCAATTATAAAGAAAGAAAATTGTATTATTCTTAAAATCATATTTTAGATACCCTTTTATTCAACGGGCAAGGAGTAACATAAGAGATTTAAACAAATTAATGACACTCATTAGTGAAAATGATATTAAAATATATTATTAATTCTTTATTAAAGAGATTATTTGTATCAATTTCATGCCATACAGGTTTGACAGTAGCTTGATGAGTTTTAATATTAATGTTATCACATCATATCATATTCATATTTATATCGAAAAATGGTTAATCCTAATCCACTAACTATGTATACGGCTCAATTTTGTTATCGTATTATATTAAAAAATTTCATCCTT